ATATAATATAAAGAGTCTATTTTAATAAAATTAATATTATTAGAAAATATAAATAATTTAAAGAATAATCTCGCTAAAATTAAATCAATTGAATTTATTTTTTAAAAAAAATTAAATAAATTAATAACTTGTATTACTGATTATAATACAATAATAATAATCTATAAAATAAGATTAATTAATTTCTAAATATCTAAATTAAGATTAAGATTAAGATTAAGATTAAGATTAAGATTAAGATTAAGATTAAGATTAAGATTAAGATTAAGATTAAGATTAAGATTAAGATTAAGATTAAGTTTAAGATTAAGATTAAGATTAAGATTAGGATTAAGATTAAGATTAAGATTAAGATTAAGATTAAGATTAAGATTAAGATTAAGATTAAAATTAAGATTAAGATTAAAATTAAGATTAAGATTAAGTTTAAGATTAAGATTAATATATAAGATATTATTAATATACTTTTCACTAGAAAAAAATAAAAAAAAATTATATTATAAAATAAATTAAGAAAGTAGAAAATATGAATTAATTACTAAAAATAAAATAATAATAATTTAATAATATATATTTATATATATATATATATATATATATATATTTATATTACTTTTTTTTTTTTTACAATTTTTTTTTAATTAAATCATAATTTACTAAATAAAAGATTTTTTAAAAATGAATCATTATTGCCTTTTATTTTGATTTAATTATTATATATAAAAAAATATAAATAAATATAGCTAACTCATAATATATATATTTATAATTTTATTCATTTAAATTTAATTATTTATATTTCTTAAAAAGAGTTATTACGACTATTTTATTTTCTCATATCAATAAGTATTTATTATGTTTATTACATGTTTTCATCACTATATTTACTTTCATATGAATTATCAATATTATTTACACCTTCTTTAAATCCAAAACAATTCTTTAAATAGTCTTTAATTTATTAATTTAAACCAAAGAATAAGCAATTTAGGAATCCTTAAAAGCCTTAAAGGAAATATGATAGACAGAATACCATATATGGTATTTATTTGTCTGTAAAAAGTTAATAAAAGCATAAAAAAGTGTCCAATGAATAACAAAAAACCATTATTAAAGGATAAAGTCTAATTTTAGTGATAATTTTGGCTTTAATATAGTTACTAATAAACTCGCTTTTGAGAAAGTAATACATTTTAATATAATATATCCAATTAAATATAATAGATATACATAAAGGTATATAAAACATAGCTTATTTAATTAAAAAAGTCCTTATTTTATCATTTTATCTTTATAAAATCCAACAATATAGTTCGCCATTACCATAGTCTTGTGTATAGAATGGAATAGATGATATTAATAGCGGTAAAATGAAAATTATAATGGAAAAAAACTTAATTTTTTTAAACATATTCTAACTACAGTATATTAAACTTTAATTCAAACTCCAACTTATTATCATTGTTGTTAAAATACTAGATTATAATGAATAATTTATTAAAAAAGATTAAATTTGGCATTATAAATCATCTTTTCCGGTTTATTATTAATCTTTAAATTAAGAATATTGAAATAAACGGGATACTGTGAGTAAAAAGTCAGATATTTGCAAAAATAATATCAGTTTATATGAAAATTTACGAAGTTCGGAGATAAATATATACATTGTTAAAGTAAAAAAAGTACTTATTAAGGATATTGAGTTCGATATAATATATAAATTTATTAATAAATTATTATTATTATTATTATTTGCCATATTTTTTTTTTTGGGGGGGGGGGAGGGGTTATTATTTGTTTTTGTTTTTTGTTTATATATATTTTATTTATATTATTTTTTTTAAAAAAATATATATATTATTTTTTTATAAGTAAAAATAAATATATTTTTATATATATTATTATAAAATGATACAAAATACACTTAAATCTATTGATAATAACATAAAAAATTATAGTGAAGTATTTTTTTTTTTCTTTTTTCTATATATGTCTAATTTTTTTTGTTTGAAATAGATAGTTTATATATTTCCTGCTTTACCTTGTGTGGTAAATTTTTTCGTGGTTATAATAACTTGCGCATTATATATAATTAAAAAATATGAATAAGAATTAAGCTTTGAAAAAGATAATATATAATAATATATTTTTGGAAGTATTATGACTAATTATATATTTTTGATTATTTATTCTAATATTTTAATTGAATATATCCCTATAAAATTATAAATTAATTTTGTTTTATTAATTATTTGGATTATTGGAACTTTTATATGGAATATAATGGGTATTAAATATACATAAAATAAAGAAAATGTAATATATATATATATAAAATATATAAAATAAAAAATGAAAATATTATTTTAAAAAAATTCATTAAAAAAGCGATTAATCAAAAAAATATAATTGTTAATTATATATATTTTATAAAAATAATAAAAATATATATAAATTTATTTTATATTATATAAGTTTTATTTTTTTTAATTGCTATTTTTATAGTTAAATTTCAAAAACATATATTTAATTATATTTATATATAATTATATACATTTTATATTTAAATATATTATATTTACATAAATAATTTATTAATTTATAGGATAATAATGTATATAAAGGTATAGCTATTTTTAATATTGTAGTTTTTTTGGATTTTTTATAATTTTATTGATAGGAATATATATTTATAAATATTAATAGAACGTATATTTATTTTTATATAAAATTATTATTATTAATATAAATATATATATATATATATATATATTATATTTTATTTAGAAAAAATATAAACAAATTACTCATTAACCTTAACTAAATTAATAAAATTAAGTTTTACCTTAATTAAACTAATAAATCGTTTAAAATTAAGAAAATAAGTAAACATATAAACCATATGAATAAGAATAGTTTTATTGAATTAATATTTTTTTATTTTGATATTTTACAACCTTTTATTAAATATTCAATGAAATTATAAATTTTGTATATTTAAAATTTTCCTTATTATTATAAAATAATTATATTTTTATAAACTTTAATTATTAATTTTTTAAATTTCTAAAATTTTAATTTTGAATATAAATATTAAAACTTTAGTTGTTAAAAAAGTCTTATCTAACATATATATATATATTTTGTTTTTCCGGAATTAATAATATTATATATTTTAATAAAAAATAATAAACATATTTATTTATTAAATATAAATTAAAAGGCAAATATTAGTTTTTTTGTTATATAATAAAATAATAAATTATAATATTTTTTATATTTATATATTTTTCTTTTATTTTTACGTTATTTATTATATATTATTATTTTTATATTTACTTTTAATAAAAAGAATTGATCATAAAATTTAGAAGATATAGATTTTTTAATTTAATCGAATTATTTAATATATATTCATAATTATTTTGAATAAAAAAAGAATCAAATTAAGATATTCGCTAAAAATATAGCTAAAATAAAAAATAATTAATAATTAATTTTTTCAAAAAAAATAAAAAAATATATATACATATATATTTTTATTTTATTTTTTCTATTTAATAATCCTTTAGTCTTTATAAAATATAATTAATTCAAAAAAAAATTCAAAATAAATGTCATTTATATCTCATAATTTGTTTTAATAATATATTTCTTCATTTCACTAATAACAAAAGAGAAAATTATTTTAAAATAGCGAATAATATTTAGTCTGTAAAATTTCCTATTATATATATTATATTAAATAATACATACTTATAATATTTCGAAATAATACGACAAATAAAGACTATTGATATAGATACTTAAATAAATAGCATTATGAATATTAATATATAGTTTCTTAATGGGCATTTATAAAACATAATAAGTCAAAAGTTTTTCGAATCTGATGTTTGTAAAATGTAGTGTCTCCAAAAAAAAAAATATATAGAATATATAAAGGAGTTATATGTGTTTAATAATTGCAAATGATTGTTGAATATTTAATCAAAATAATTTTTCTGATTATGGTATATGTCTACAAACAGAAAAATTTATATTAAATACTTATTATTATGTCCAAACAATCACTAAATTCAGGTTCAACTCTTCACAATGTATAATGGAGATAATAAAATATCTCAGATTTATATACAAAATAGAAGTTTTAGTATATATTATAACTATAATACTTAGTATAAAGGCATTAAGAAATAAAAAAAATAAAGAATGACATTTTTTATTTATGTAAAAAATAAAAAATATATATAAAAAATTATAAAAAGAAAAAAAAAAAAAAAAAGAAGTTTAAAAGAATTAAAAAATAAAAAAAGCATTTTATTGATAAAAAAATAATCATAAAAAGGAATAATATGAAGTATTTAAAAAATATTTATAAATCGTTATGATTTAGTGTTTAAAAAAATATATTTATAATAGATTAAAAAAAAAAAATTTAATATTTTTAATATTTAAGAATAAAAAAAGAATATTTTTTATATATAAATCAAAAAATATTTATTAATATATATATCAAAATTTCTATATATGTAAATATATATATTTATTTATTTACGAAAAAATCAAGAAATTAATACTTCTTCCATTTACAATTTTTCTAAAAGCTGATTTATATTATTAAAAATATAAAAAAATAAAAAATTACTTTAAATTCTAAATTTCTAATATTATTTAGTTAATTTTAATAGGTATTCTAAACATTATCTAATTCTTCAATTTTAGCAATTAATTCTTTATTTTTTTAAGTTAATTCTAAAGATTTTCTTTCAGATTAATTCTTATACATGTCTTTAGTCTTAGTTCTATATATATAAATATATAAATGTATATATATATATATATATATATATAATATATTATATATATTTATAATAATTAATATTTATTTATAATAATTTATATATATATAGATATTCATATATTTATATAATGATTTTTTTTTTTTTTTTAAATATTAACTATTTATATTTTTTAATTATATTAATTTATTTTACAATTCATCTATTTCTCTTAATAACATGTCTTATTTATTTTTATTTAAGTTTGAATTATCTCCTGATTAATCTCCGTATTTTCTTTTACATTATCTATTTCTTTAGTGCACTATCTCTTTATTGCTTTAAAATTTCAGTTTATTCTTAAATTTAATGAAATTCCTAACTTAAATTCGTTAACTAACATTCCAATTAACTACATTTACTTTCCAATTTTCTACATTTTACTTCCGCATTATTCCTTTAATCTGTAATTTAGATTATTTACCTCTCATAATTCGAAAACTCATGGCTTTTTTTTCCGAATTTCTAACTTTCTTTAACTAGATTGGCATTAACAGTTTTGAGCTCATCATTTTCAGCCAATTAATATCTATAATTTTCATCCAATTCCTATATTTTATGCTAAAGTTATTTAATTTAAGTACTATAAGCTATTCTTTCGGCTTCTGAGATTACTTAAGACGGTTAGAACTGTATATCTTTATACTATTCTAGGTTTTTTTTCATTTCTTCCAATTCTAGAATTCTCCACATTTCTAATTTTTCTAATTTTTCTTTCCATTTCATTTAGTATTCTTCATTTCCTAAAGCTTCCATTAATTATTTCTATAAATCCCTTATCTGATTTTCATAGTGTTCATTTTCCTTTGATTTTTATGATCTCTTTACACTTTCTTGTTCACTTAAGATTAATTGAATTTACCTTTAAAGTTCTTCATTAAATTTAGTGTCTATTTGTCTTTTAATGTCCTCAATTTCAATTTCATGTTCTTTTTTTAGCCTCTTAATTGCCTCTAAATGATCGTTTTGGGATACACCGCTCTATTATTCACTTATTCTAATTAATTCAGTATAGGCAATTGATAATTCAGTCAATTCTTTCCCCATTTAGTCTATTTTGATTTATTTTTCTCCACATTAGTATCTATAAGTCTCCAACTAGTATATATTTTATTGTTAATTTTCGATTAGATTGAGCTTTTCCTTGAGTATATTATTTAGTCTTTCAATTTCGAGTCCTAATAGTGTTTTTTCTTGTTCTAATTTACCTAAATTTTGTATTTAAGAGTTTTCTATTTAATATTAGGTTAATTAGTTTTGCAAATATCTAATTGTGTTTTCGTTTTTAGTATTTTGTTCTTACAAAAGTATTTTTTCGGAGTCTATTTGTTTCCATTAGTGTTTATTTATTTCCATTTCTTAATATAAACGGTTATATTCTTCCACTAAATTTTCATTTTCGTTTATTTTATCGTTTAATTATTCATTTAGGTTATTTATGTCTTACATATTATATTAGTTTTCTTATAATACTTGCATTTTTTATTTAATGTCGTTTATTTGGTTTTTTAATTAATTGTTTTCTTACTATAATTAGTCTTTTATGTTCCTAGTTTATACTATTTCTTACTATAATGTGCTATTGGATAGTCTTATTTAGGAAAAATCTTATTATTGATGATTTAATTATTATTAAAATTGACTATTTGAGGCTTTTATTTATTATATTTCTTATTATAATTGACTATTTTATTGTCTTATGACGTTATTTTCCTATTAAATATATTCAATTTATTAATTTAGAATAATGACTCGTTATTAATGTTATTCGTTTATCATTTATAATTCTTCAGTGTTGATTTATTTGGGTTTATTTGATGTTCTTTTGACTTATTCTTATAAATTTCCTAATTATTGTTCTTACTATTATACTTTTTCATTATAGTATTTTAATTAATTTTAATATTCTATTTTTTATCCATTTAATAATCTATTTTAGCTTTCCAATTATTCTATTTTCTATAAAAATTCTTATTTTTGTAAAATTAAACTTTCCATTTAAGCACTTAAAAACAGTATTTTTTCCAAAAGTATATAATTATCTTAATTATTATTCTAAAAGGAACTCTTTTTTACTAATTTCATATTTTCTTCTTATAAAAAGGCTAAACTTTTATTTAATCTTTCAATTTCTTCACCCAAAACCATTAACTTATGTTCTAATTCTCTATTAACGCTTTTTATATTGTTATTTTCATCCATTAAAATTCTCATTCGTTAGTTTTCGCTTGAAAGCATAGCTATTTTTTACTCGTATGTGTTTTTTTGATTTTCCTATTCTATACTATTATTATTTCTTATTTTCAAAGATTCGTTTTCCATTTATAATTATTAAATTAATAATTCTAATCTTCTTTTGTCTTCCTAAAAGACTCTTGAATTTCTAATTTCGTCTTGTTTTTCGCTTAAAAGACGTGTTAATCTATCCAATTCTTCCGAAAGTACTTAAATATGCTTATTTAATTAATTTTTTTCCGCTTCACATACTTATAAACGCTCTATTTCTCGTCTATATTCTTGTATTTTTTGTTCTTTTTCGGTCTATAGGTTCGTTTGGTACTCTATTTGGGAAGATAGGAGAACTATTTATTACTCTAGGTGCATATTTTGGTTATTTTATTAAGGAATTTCCCTTTTTTAGTCCTCTAATTGGACTATTTATTTCCCCATTTGGAATATAATGTTCTCTTTGTCTTCTACTATTCTTTTAAGTTATTCGATTTGTTAAACTAGGATGAGTTTTTGGTTATCAGAGCCTTCTTTTTCTTTTAAAAAGTTAGATTGTCTTAAAAGTTCGGAAGATAGGAGAGATATTTTGTTTTCTAATTAAAGAATAATATTTTCTTAGTTTTTAATTTTTTCGAATTATTCAGTATTTATTTTGCTTATTTTTTCTATTTCTTAGGCTAAAATTAAGGCTTTTTCTCTATATTTAGAGCTTTCTTCTTATTGGGTTTTTTTGAAAAACTCCTATTCGGTATTTTGTTTTAATATCATTGAATTTAATCTCTCGATTTCTTAACTAAGGATGACTATTTTTTGTTTATTTTCAGTTTCCGATTGTTAATTGCGTATTTTTTAATTCAAATCCTATATTTCTCGGTCTTTTAAATTAATTATTTGTGTTAATTTTTCTATTTCTTAAGTCAAAATAAGGATTCTATTTTAATTTTCGGTTTCTGATTATAAAATATAGAGTTTGGATTAATTTTAATTATGTAATTCTTGAATTTCCTTATCTTTCAAATTAATAATTTAGGTGAGTTTTTCGATTTCTTATGTAAGTATTAATAATTTATTTTTGCTTTCGGATTCTTATTAAAATACTTTAGATTAATTCTAATTATGTAACTCTTATATTTCTCGATCTTTTGAATTAATGATTTAAGTCATTTTTTCTATTTCGTTTCCCAATAATAATATTTAATCGCATTTTTAGGGAGGGGGAGATTATTAATATTAAAGCTTCAAATTCTCGGTTTCTTATTATTTCTAAATTAACTAATTTTATAATATTTATATATCTTCCGAGTGTCTGTTTTTTAATTCTCTTATAATATTATCATTATTATTATTATTTTATTATTATTAAATTAATTATTAAAGTTATTTATTTACATTTGTCAATTTATTAATTTATTCAGTTAAATGGACTTCATTTTGCCGACATTTATTCAGTTCACTTTAAACACTATTGAATTCATTAATTAGTTTATTTAAGTCTAAATTATTCGGGCTTTAATTCTATAGTAATTTATTAATTTTTTCATTTAATAAAATCTCGTTTTGGCGAGATTTATTATGTTCATTTTAAAGATTATTTAATTCGTTTATTAATTTATTATTTACATCAGTTTAATTTTAACTTTCTGTCATATTTTAAGGCAATTTCTATTCCAATTAGAAACGTAAAAGGTTTATATATTCATCTTTTTCCCGAATAATTTAGGTAAGTTATGATGTGTTTTCATTTGTGGCTAGATTTGAAGTAAATAATTTCTTTGGAGACACTGATAGGGCTTATTTTTTTTTTGTAGATGAATACTTTACTCTTTTTTTGTATTTTTTTAATATTTCTTTATTTATATATTTTACACTGATGGTGCTTAAGTAGATGATATTTTTTCAAGTCTTTACATTGAATCTGGTGTGGGGGCTCTTATAGGGTTTGTTGAAGGTAAATTTCTTGTTTGCTAGTATTCGCCACGCTAGTTTATGGATACTAGGACACTTTTTGTAGGTGAACGCATATTTTAGGTTTAAGGAGTCGTCTATTTTGCAAGTTTCATGTTTTTTTATTTTATTTTTTGAAAATAAATATTTTTTTTTAAATAAATATATATATATATATATTTTCTATTTATTATTTTTTAAAAAAAATAAGCATTTTATTTTTTATTTTTTATTTTTTAAGTTTTTTTTTTTTTTTTTTTTTTTTCTTATTATTTGAATATATA